GTCAGGCCAACCTGAGTCTCCCGAACCCGAGTCTTTCATGTCCCCGATAGGGAGTCCGCGCCCCCCGTCCCCCAAACTCTTGGGGGGGGGGCCTTAATGACCCGGGCGCCCGTCTCGGTGGTGGAGCTGTATCGCCGCCGCGTCATTACCGTACGCTTTCAGGATGTGCGTTGGACAGTCTTGAAAAACCGACCAGTTGTATTGTGAAGTGCCTGAGGATATCGGGCCAGCCAGTCGTAAGATAGATCTGTTGTGAATTGCTAGTATCTCCATCTGCCAGGCAAGCTGTATTATGAAATTATTGGAAATCGCGTCCCCAGACAAGTTGGAGTTTGGCGTGCGCGAAAGCTACATCACCAAGTACGAAGCCCTCGGTGGCCTGCCTGGCGCCACGGCCCCCTCTCCGCTCAGTGAACGTTAGGCTTCGAGGCGTCTGCGCCAACCGTAATCGGGCCCTGCTGTTGCGGCGGGGGGCCCTGGCGACCCGGAGGGCGCCCTCGCTGCGCGCAGTTGCAGGCCAGTGAGTACGTCGAGCGCCCCTGGCCCCTAGCCTCGTGCCTCCCTCTTCCCTCCACCTCGTCCTCCTACTTCTCCTCCTCTCGAGGGGGACTTCCGCTCACGCCCGCGCTCTTGCGGGTCCTCGGTGAGCAGGCTTCGGCACGTTGTTTGATTGTTGTTTTGCTTAGCTCGGAACAGCCCAATCACCTCATATCCGCGCCTCCAGGATGTCCTCGCCAACATTACGGAACGCTGTTGCGAGGCCTGTCCTGGAAAAGGAGGACGGCAATTCATTGGGGGAGGGTAGTTGCATGGTGACGAGAATGACTATGTGGTCGGGGGACACAATTGCGATCAAGCGCGAGAGAAATAGACAATATATATATATATACAGATATAGATATATGTATACATGTGTGCAGCTGCAGATATATTCATATCTGCGTATCACCATCAACTTGAGGCCATGTGTGTTTGAATGTGTGGGTCTGATGCACGTGGGTGTAGATGTTCAGTTCCAAGGTATTCGTGTGAGGTTGTTGATTTATGCGGGCATGCTTGTAGAACATGCTTTCGCAGCACACGTGTCATCTCCAGGCGTTTCGGGGGCTCCTGCTCGCGCGGCCCCACTGAGAAATGACATGGGCTCGGTTCCTCATCCCGAAGAAGGAGCACTGCGTGCACGTACTCTTTCGGCCTGGCATCGCTCGGACGTGTGCATTCTTTCTCGGCGAGAACCATCGAGGACCATCCTGGACCATCGAGCAAAAAAAACACACACACGAAACCGAAACATGCACGGGAAGTGGACGTCCGAGCGAGGGCAAGTCGGAGGCTCCGATCGTTGCAGGACCCCCCCCCCCTCCCTCCTGGCGCGCGGAGTGCGCAGGTGCCGGTGCCAGAGGCGCCGTGAGTGGAGCTCCAGCGCCGGAAAAGAGATGTGTGCGGAGCCCTGGAAGGTAACGATTACCTATACGACCACCCTTCGGGTGATAGGGAGGCGAGGGGGGGGGGGGGAGACGGACCAACGTCGCACTCGATCGATCTCACTATCGAACTCACTAAGATCTCACAATCGATCTCAATCGATCGATCTCACAATCGATCTGACTATCAATCTCACAATCGATCTCACGTTCGGTCTCGTTATTGATCTCATTGTCGATATCACAATCGAGCTCACAACCGGTATCACATTCGATCTGGCTTGCGTTCTCGCTATAAAACTCACTATCGATCTCGCTATCGATCTCTCATTCGGTCTCACTATCGATCTCACTATCGATATCATAATCGATCTCACAATCGATATCGGATTCGGTCTGATTATCGATCTCACTATCGAACTCACTTTCGATCTCATTAACGATCTCACATTCGGTCTCACTATCGAACTCACTATCGATGTCACAACCGATCTCACAATGGATCTGACATTCGGTCTCACCATCGATCTCACAATCGAACTCACTCCCGATCTCATTATCGATCTCAATCTATCGATCTCACAATCGATCTGGCTATCGATCTCACAATCGATCTCACAATATCCCACAATCGATCTCACATTCGGTCTCACGATCTCACTATCGGTATCACAATCGATCGCACAATCGATCTCCCATTCGGTCTCACAATCGATCTCACTACCGATACCACTATCGATCTCACTATCGATCTCACAGTCGATCTCACAATCGATCTGACATTCGGTCTCACGTTCGATCTCACAATCGATATTACTATCGATATCACTATCGATCTCACATTCGACCTCACTATCGAACTCACAATCGATCATCAAAATAGCACAACAACATCATCATCACCATCATCATCATCATCATCATCACCATCATCATCATCATCAACATCATCATCGGGACACCGACGGGACACCGACGGGACACCGGCGGGACACCGCGGGCCCCCGGTTGCCCGGAAGGGAATCATTTGGTCCGGCCGCGCCTCAGCCACACGGGACACCAGCGGGACACGGGCGGGACACCGCGGGGCCCCGGCCGCCCGGAAGGGAATCATTTGGTCCGGCCGCGCCTCAGCCACACGGGACACCAGCGGAACACCGGCGGGACACCGCGGGGCCCCGGCCGCCCGGAAGGGAATCATTTGGTCCGGCCGCGCCTCAGCCACAGGAGACTTTCTCTCGCCCGCCCACGCAGCTTCGCCTCGCCCGCACGGCACGCGCGAACGCGAAACCGAAATCGATTTCCGGGTAGGGGGGCTCTCCGTTCCACTTCGATCTCACCCCCTCACCTCCGATGAAGTTGGGACAGACAGACCTACCTCCTCCCTCCTCCCTCCTCGTGGATGAGGAAAATTGTTTCGGGGGTGGACAGACCTCCTACCCTGACACGTCGATTGGCGACTGGGCCGTTGTCGGTTCGCGAGAGGGCGTCGCGGCCGTCATTTGTGCGGGTCAAGGTCCGTCGGTTTCGGTCCCAGGCCGTCGTCGCGAAATGGAGGATTATCACAGGGAGGTGTGTCCACCGCCGGAAGTCAGCGCGGACACCCCGCGGTCTGGCCCCCTTCTCCGGGCGTGGCGTTGCATCTCGAGTTGTGCTCTGACGGCCCTGGAGGCTCGGCGGGGGCTTTTGGTTTCTGTTTTTGGTTGGTCAGATGGTAAGTCGTGGAAGTTTCCATTCTTGGTGCGAGAACAGTATATCGGTGAATAGCGCTCAACAGCGCTCAAAAGCGCCAGATAGCGCCTAGTAGCCCCGAACGTTGTTTTCATTTAGCGCCGAGAAGCGTTGACATAGCGTTGAGATGGCGCCATTCCGCTGAGTCCCGCCTGATCCCGCTGAATCTGGCTTGCCCGGACCTCATCCCTTGCCAGAATTGGGCCTGTTCAGCTTAGTGGCCGTTCCGTCGGGCTTGAATAGCTCTCCATCGTTATTACGACGACCTCCCATGAGTTGCCTCCTGATTTTTTTCTGTCTAGGCCTCCCAGATAGGATCCTGGCAGATGCGGTCGGCGATGCATCGGCGATGCGGCTCGATGCGGAGACCGACTTTCGCCGCGCCGACGGCGCCGAGACATCGCAGACGTCGTCGCCGCAACGCCGATGGATCGGCGATGCAGTGGCAATGCGGCGCGGTCCTCCGACCCCATCTGCTCGAACCCCATTTCAGAGGCCTGCCTCTATTCTCATTTGCACGCCTCGTCGGCCCAGCACTGCTCGAGATGCCATGGAAGTGAACTTGCCTGAGTCCAGGGATTAACTCCCTCTTGATATACCTCCATCGTTCCTAGCGTGGACCTCCCAGGAGTTAGTTGTCTTCTGGCTCCCTTCTTGCAAGGCTTCGGCTGCTTCTGCAGCAAATCATGGGAGCCGTGTGTGCTGTCGACATTCTGGCTTCGGAGTATATTGTCACGCGCTAGCGTCTGGCAATTGATCAGAAAGCTCGATTCGCCTCGATTTGGCGTCGATTGGCGGCGATCAGCGTCGACTCGCGTCGGTCAGCGTCGTTTCGCAAGAGTCTGCAAGATGGCATGGAAGGCGCCGATGAGTTGCATCCGACGAGGCCGAGCCCGGACCCCCCCCTCCCCCTCCACCCTCCGTGCTTGGTCCTCTGCGCGAGCGCGCGACGACGACGACGACGGCCACGACGACCGCCACGACGACTGCGATGACGACGACGACGACGACGACGACGACGACGACGACGACGACGACTGCGACGACGACGACGACGACGACGACGACGACGACGACGGCCACGACGGCGACGACGACGACGACCACGACGGCGGCGGCGGCCGCGGCGGCGTCGGCACTGACCGTGGCGGCGGCGGCGGTCCGCCCGCGCGAGGCCGGGCAGGCCGAGCGCGCCGAGGAGGCCGCGCGCGCCCCTGCGGGAGGCGGCCGCCCTGCGCGGGGCGGCCGCCGTGGAGCTGCCGGCCCTCACGGCGCGCCCGCAGCGCTCGCCGCCGCCGCGCCGCGCTCGCCTTCGTCGCCGCCGCCCGCCGCCGCCGCGCGCCGCGCGCCGCGAGCCGCGCGCCGCGCGCCGCTCGTCGCCGCCGCTCGGCGGAGCGTTCCGCATATCATCAGGGGGGGAAAAACCACCCAGACCGGACAATTGGCGTTTACTAAACGGCCCCGGGCGTTTACTAAAAGCCCTGCCGTGTTCGATTCCTTCTTTGGGTGCGTTTACTAAATGGCCTCGCTTGTCGGGGTGGTTATTCTGGGGGTGGATTTTTTGCCCTCTATATCAAGCAGTGGCGAAGCGTCCTGGCTCGCCTATAGCCCTACCAAACAATGTTCTAAGAACCTTTTGTGATTTCCACAATATGTTCTTAGAACATTTCTGGCTGGGACTGTCTTGTTTGAACACACCGGGTTTCTGTTCTAAGAGCATTGTTTTTGTTCTAAGCGCATTTTGGGGTTCGAAGAACATTTCGTGGCAAGAGTATAGGAATGCCGGGACGGTCGGTCCCTGCTCAAGCATAGAGTCGCCCCGCGCACAGTGGAGACCCATGCCAAGAAACACCCCGCTTGCCTCCAGGGTGCCTTGGGTGTCCAGGGTTTCGATGGTTTTGTTCTGGAGAGCGTGACGTTCCCACACCAAAAATGAATGGACCTTCTGGGTTTCCATGGTTGGGTTTCTTGTGAAGGCTTCTTGTGGTCGAGCTCCTACTGTAGCAAGGATGAGCGACTGTCCAAGGGTACCCATGCATCCTTCCCCTTCGGCCCAATCCTTGGCCGCTTTCGCTGGCCGCGCCCCGCTCGCAAAGTGTCGACATGGCCTTCGAAGGCCCTTCCGCGCTGAAACAAGGACATCTTCGGGTTCGGGGATCGCTGTTCCTTGGGTCATTCCGTGGTTGTTCCTCTAGGCCTCCTCGTGCACCCGGGTCTTTTTTTTGTGCCAAACAGGGGTTTTGTTTCGTATTTCGCATCCTTTTTTGCAGCAGCTTGACTGTAATACAACCCCTAACCCTCCTAGGCCTTCCAGATGGGGTCCGAGCAGATGGGGTCGGAGGATCGCGCAGCATCGCCGACGCACCGCCGATACATCGCCGATGCATCGCCGATACATCGACGACGTCTGCGATGTCTCGGCGACGATGGCGTCGAAGTGGGGCTCCACATCGAGTCGCGTCGCCGCTGTATCGCCGATGCGTCTCAATCCTCTGCCCCCTTCTACTCGGACCCCGTCTAGGAGGCCTCTTAATCCCTGATGACACAGTGAGCTCGTGGTCCGACTTCGGCCCACGGTTTGCGTGCGTATCCCCAAGCGTACGGGCGGTGTTCGCCTGATCCATGGGCAAAACAACAAATCTCTAGCCCTAGCCTTCATGTTCTTGGCCCTCCTAGCTCGGGTCCCCGCATCGAGGGTTTGGGGTACTTGCGGTTGTCCGCGAGGAATCAGGTCGCTCAGAAAAGTGCATTCGGGGAACAAAGCGGGAGCGTGATTCCTGAGTGTCGAAGGCGCGGCATTTGAATCCATTGTTGCCGAATGTAAGCGCCGATTTCGTGCCGACTCAGCGTCGACGTGTCGATGAGCGTCGATTCAGCGGCGAGATTTGCGTCGGCGAGTATCGAGTCGCAAGAGTCAGCAACATGGCACGGGAGGCTCGCAGGAGTTGCCGCCAAACGTTCCTGGGGGGTCGTTTTTCCGAACCATCCTGTGTTTCGTTGGGCCCTCGTCTGAATCCGCAGCGCCCGCGTCTCCCTCCTCCTCCTCCTCCTCCTCCTCCTCCTCCTCCTCCTATTACTCCTCGTATTCCTCCTCCTCCTCCTCCTCCTCCTCCTCCTCCCCCTCCTCCCCATGTTTGCCTCTGCTCTCCGCACGTCCGTTTTGGCACACTCCTCACACACGTCGTGGCCCTATCGGGCGTCCCGACTGAGTCCCAAACGTTCGGATTTGCAAGGTGGCGCCGCCTTCATTTCGACACACGTCTCACACGATCCGTGGCTCCGTGTCCCCACAGGGAGCTTCACCGAAAGCTCCAGTGGTAGGGTTCGCAAGGCGGCGCCGCCCCGTTTCCGCACCTCCGTCACTCGTTTTGTGGCCCAATGGGGAGCTCCACAAAAGGCCCCAGTGGAACCATTTCGGCACGACCTTGCCTCTCTCGCGTTCCCACAGGGAGTTTCACCAAAGGCCCCAGCGGCAAGGCTTGCATGGAGGCGTCGCACCAATGTCGGCACATCCTCAAACGTTTCGTGGACACACGAGGAGCTCCACCGAAAGCCCCGGTGGCAGGTTTCGCATGGCGCCTGGCATCGCTCGGACGTGTGCATTTTTTTTTGTCGCGAGAACCATCGAGGACCATCCTGGACCATCGAGCAAAAAAAACACGCACGGCACCGAAAAACATGCACTGGACATGGACGTCCGAGCGACGGCAAGGGCGGCGTCGCCCTGCAGTCGGGGTCCTGAAGAAGGAACCCTTTTCGTTGGGGAGGGGCTCCGTGTTCCTTGATTGTTTCACAGGTTTCCTTGTGTTTTCCCTAGGTTTTCGATTAGAGATCGAAGTTTTACTCATGGACAGAAGGGGCCTCGTTCCTTATTTCGGGTTCCTTGGGTCAACGCCCCGACTGTAATTCGGCACCCCGCCTCACACGTTCCGTGGCCCCAAGGAGGAGCGCCACCACCGGCGCCAATGCCAGCGCCCGCATGGCGGCACCTCCACCTCTCAGGAGGGGAAAAAATCGCGCAGACACAATGAGTCGTAGATTCCCCAGGAAAAGATGGGAAAATATGGAAGGTGGGGGGGAAGACAAAAACCCAGCAAATATGTGAAAATATGGGGAGCTCCTGTTATTAGTGTGTATTTAGTTGCGTGTCCCAGGGCCCCTTCGACACACCTCGCACGTGTTTTCGGCCCTCTAGGGCCATAGGGAGAGCTTCCGTTCCGTCTTCCAACCCGCCTTGCGGTACTGGCGGCTGCACATGGTTGGGTCCTTTGCAAGGGTACTTTGATGGGCCTGTTTTCCACCACCACCACCATAAGCTGGAGGGGGGAAGGAGGTAGAGGACGAGGAGGAGGACGAGGAGGAGAAGGAGGTGGTGGAGGAGGACGACCCCCTCCCCCTCCAACTTCTGGTGGTGGTGGTGGAAACCAGGGTCATTATACTTCGTTTTGTGTTTATGATCTGATGGACCCCGGGCCCGAGAACGGCCCCCGAGTGCCGATGCCCAGGGGACACGCCCGGATATCGTGGCCATCAGGTCGGGCCATCTCTTGGGCCATCTTCGGACGAGGCTATAGAACGAGGATAAATCCGTCCCGGAGCGATCCAGAACGCTCTCAGAGCGTTCCGGCCGCGGCATGCGGTACACTTTCCAGAGTTGTCGATTTCTCAGACGCTGTCGATTCCTCCCCGCCCGATCTGGTCCTCGTCCTGACTTCGCCCTGCCGTCTCGGCCCAGTCTTGGAAGCCCCTCCTGCTTTGGCCTCCCAGCCGGGGTCCGCGCAGATGGGGGCGGAGGATCGCGCCGCATCGCCGATGCATCACCGCTGCGGCTCGACGTGGCGCCCCGTGCTTCTCCACGCCGGCGTCGCCGATGCTCCGGCGAGGCGGCGCGGTCCCTTGACCCCATCGGCTCGGACCAGTCTATAGGAGGCCTCTACCGTCGGCCCGGATTGGTAGGTCGAAGCTGGCAATAGTCAACGGTACCCTCGTGTCCTGTGTCTCGCGACCCGTGCCTCCTGCATTCCTGTTGCAGCGCGGCCCTCGGAAGGGTCTCGTGCCATCTCGCGCGCCCTCTCCAATCGAGCTCGACTGTGCAGTGCCGTTTTTTGATACATGCTCCGCGTGCGGATCATGGATTGAAAAACGCAGGGATTTGGCAATTCACCACAACGATGGGTTCATGCATACATTTATTCATACATTAATCATTTATTTAAAATCTCATATATATATATATATACAACTAAAAATACACAAATAGAAAACCTATGTATCAAACACTGCCCAACACTGCCCTGCACTCCCGGCGCCCCTGCGGCCGCCCCGCCTCCCCTGCGCAGGCCGAGGACCTGGAGGCCCTCCGCCGGGGCGGCTCCGTCGCGCGGCAGGAGCGGCGGGGCCGCGAGGGCTCAGGCCGGGGCCCGCGCCTCCGCCCCGCCGCGCCTCTCCGCCTCCGCGGCAGCCCTCTGGCTGCAGCAGGTGCACGCGGGAGGGGTCCTGCGCCGGGGGGGGGCCAACTTCCTCGCCCTCCTCCTCCTCCTCCTCCTCCTCCTCCTGCTCCTGCTCCTCCTCCTCCTCCTGCTCCTGCTCCTCCTCCTCCTCCTCCTCCTCCTCCTCCTCCTCCTCCTCCTCCTGCTCCTGGCTGCAGCAGGTGCACGCGGGAGGGGTCCTGCGCCGGTCAGAGCGTGAATTACCTACCCCGCTTTCGCTTCCAGGCAAAACCAAGTCATACCATACGCCTCCTCGTCAGGCCGCCTGACAAGTACAGGCCGTAGTTTGGCATCGCTCGGTATCTCTTGGAAGCGAGGGTGGTCAAAAGCGAGGTAGGTTTGTTTTCCCCCTATCTCGTGCGGGCACGCCGGGTTTGGGCATAGCCTCTGGAGGTCGGAAAGGGGTGTGGCATAAAGGGGTGTGGTGCCAATCGTGGAAATGGCGATGCTATCTGCGACAAATAGCATCGCCAGAGTCCCCTTTACTTAAAATTAGCACCACACCCCTTTACACCATACCCTTTTCCTACCTCCAAAATAGCCAGGGCCGAAAGGGGGGGATCGGGAAAGGGGGGGGTACGAAATGTGCTGCATGCAGCTGGTTTCGGCCCCGCCGAGGGGCCCCTTCCTCGATACATGGCCGCCTCCGGCGCCGTGAGGCGCCAGGAGAATCAGCTACGTGAGCTGATTCTCAAACCCCCCCTTTGCTATCCCCCCCTTTCGCCCGACCCGAGCCAGGACCCCGGGTAAGGGGACCTGGTTAGTGGTAGGGCCCTGGGGCCCCTCAATTGGCAAGATTCACTAAACCAGGTTTGCCGTAACCGGTGTTTTTCGGGTGACGGCAGTTCCGGGGGGGGGGCGCCCCCGGTACAAATCACTAAACCAGGCTCCACTAAACCCAGTTCTGCCAACGCCCGACGGGTGCTCAGGAGACGGGGGTTGATGCAAACGCCAGGCATCGTTCAGCCTTGTGCATTTTTTTCTCGGCGAGGACCTTGGAGGAGCATCCTGGATCATCGAGCGAACAAAAACACGCACGAAACCGACACATGGAAAGGGACATGGACGTCCGAGCGAATGGCAAGATAACGTGGGTCAGGCAGAGCGCCGGATCTTCCGGGATCATGCAGGGCCAGGGCAGCGGCGACGCGGGCTTTTGGGTGCAGGGTCCTGCAGGCTCTTCCAGGGGCCCGCAGGGCCTGGCTGGCCCGAGGTTGGATGACGCATTTTTCAGAGCCCCGAATCATCAGGGGTAACTCGGGTCAGGGATAACTCGGGTTCCTTTTTCGGGATTCCGAACCCGAGTTATCTCGGACCCGAGTTACCCCGGATATTTCGGGCGTCCAGGGCCCCGAATCATCAGGGGTAACTCGGGTCAGGGCTAACTCGGGTTCGTTTTTCGGGAACCCAAACCCGAGTTACCCCGGACCCGAGTTACCCCGGATAACTCGGGCGTCCAACATTTTGGGTGCAGGCTCTTCCAGGAGCCTGCAGGGCCTGGCCGGCCCGAGGTTGAAGGTGGACCCGGGTCAGGAGATCCCCAGGGCGCGCTCGGGCCCTCGGAGGGCCGAGTCCGGTGCGGGAGCTCTCTCTATCGGCGTCACCCCAGCACACAGGGCAATTTTGAATACATAGGATTTTTAAGCATATAGGATTTTTAATACATGATTAAGTTATGAATAGATTTATGCATGAACTCATCGTTGTTGTTAATGCTAAATCCCTGCATGTTCAATACATGATCCGCACGCGGTGCATGTATTACAAATGGCACTGTACTGCTACTGTGTGTGCGTCGCTCCCCATCGGAGGTTGATAGACCTCCTGCCCAGACACGTCGATTAAGAAATTTGCCGTTTTCGGTTCGCGAGAGGGCGTCGCGGCCGTCATGTTTGCGGGTCCAGGTCCGTCGGTTTCGGTCCCAGGCCGTTTTCACTAAGTGGAGGTTTATTAACGGGAGGTTTGTCCACCGCCGACCCCAGGAACGCCGCGCGCACCGAACATTTTACAGCAGAGGCGTAGTGGCGGGCGCGCTGTGGCCACACCGCTCGGGAAACGAGGTACTACACGGTGGGTATACGATATCGGACGCACTCCTACAAGAAGGACATACAGTAGTAGCATGCCCTTGTGCGTCCCGCTCTAGGCCTCCCAGATGGGGTCGGATCAGATGGGGTCGGAGGATCGCTCCGCATCGCCGATGCATCGGCGATGCGACTCGATGTGGAGCCCGTGTTTCTCCACGCCAGCGTCGCCAATGCACCGCTGACGCCGCCGATGCATCGCCGATGCATCGCTGATATATCGCCGATGCATCGCCGATGCGGCGCGATACTCCGACCCCATATACGCGGACCCCATCTAGGGGGCCTCTATTGGCTGAATCCGGTACGATAGCAGCGGCGTGTGCGCTCGGGTTCGGCCTCCCCGCGGCCCCCGAAAGGTGCGCACCAAAGGTCACTCTTGCCCAGGGTCACTCTTACGTGTAGCCGAGGCCTGCTTGGCGGCCGCTCGCGCGCTGACCACTGTTCACGGGTACCGAGGCTTCGAAAGTCCAGGGTTCGCTAGGGGCTTGCTTCCTTCCAAAACGACGAGAACCCTTTCAAAACCCGCCCTAACCCCTCCGAAAAAGTCTCCCAGAACCCTTCCTGGAGAGTGTTCGGAAGCTTTCGGGAGGGCCAGTCCCTGGCGAAGCCTGGACTTTCTCAGTCTAGGCTTCTCAGGTGGGGTCGGCGTTTCTCGTCGCAGCTGGCCCGCTAGCCCACCCCGCATGGGAGCGTGCGGATTCAACATTCGGGGCCTGTCCCCGATCTCTTGGCGATGTATCGCGCCGATTCCAGGTCGCTGTTCCCCCCCCGAGCCAGCGCCCCCGCTGCCGTTCCCCCTCATGAGGAAAGAAGGGCGGGCCCTGCAGGCCTGCAGTGAAAACCCATGCCAGGAAACACCCTGCTTGCCGCCAGGGTGCCCTGGCCTTGCTGTGGCGAGCGTGACGTTCCCACACCGAACCTCAATGGACGTCCTGGGGTCGCAGGGTTGGGTTTCTTGTGGTCGAGCTCCTACTGCAAGATGAGGATACATCACTCCAGAGCGCCCCCGAACGCGCCGAGAGCGTTCCGGATCGCTCCGAAACGGCCGCGGCGCCCTAGACACCCTTTGGGCCCGCTGGTGCTCAGAGAGTCCCATTCTTGACGCTTCGCGTATCCCCACCAGCACGTCTGCGACAGTGAGTCACCGTGAGTGAGGCCCCCTCTGTGCCGCCGTTCCCTTTTTCCTGTCGTTGGGTGCCCGTCTGGCGTCCGCAGCGGCTCTCCCGCTTCCTCTTGCCTCGCTTCCGTGTGTCTCGGCCGGAGTTTGACGCCGACAGGGCGGCTTCTCCGTGCTGCAACAGTACGGTCCGTGCTCCGTGCCTCTTCTTGGTGTGTGGTTCGGCTGGAGCTTGGCGCCGTAAGGGCGACTTCTCCTATCCGTCCGCCGCCAGTGCCGCGCTTGCGTCCCCATCCGCTGGGATGATTGCGCCGGTCCCCCACAATGAGGGTCACTTTGTCCACGGCATGTGCACTCGCCTCAGCGGCCTACGTGCCTCTGCGGCCAATTATCTCGCTCTGTGCCCCAGTCCAGAATCCCGCTCCCTGGACGTCTCCTTGGAGCCGCGAGCCCCAAAAAAAGTATCGCCACCAGCATCGCCCGGCCGTCTTGCGCCTGTCCAAGGGCTCCCTCGAGGGCGCGAAGTTATTCGCGCTTCGCGGTCCTCGTTCCTTCTCCCCCTCCTCCTCGTCCTCCTATTCTCCCTTTGGGAGGGCGGCGCGAGAGCGCGAAGTTATTCGCGCTTCGCGCTTCGCGCAGCGCGAAGCGCGAAGTTGGGAGCCCTAGCTGTCTCGGTAGCTTACTTAGGCTGGCCCGCGCCCCGGACTACCCTTTTGGCGACTGCTTCACGCGTTCGCCCGCGACCAAAAAAAATATCCCCACCGGCCTGTCCTGCTTCGCCCGCGGTGCCGTGCAGCGCTGGCTCGGCGCAGTGGCCGCCTTTATCCGCACGACCTTACGACGCCGCGCGGGTGTCCGCTCGCGGCCGCGATCAAAAGAATATCTCCACCAACCCATCCAGGAACGAGCGGAGGTTTCCTGGAGGCCTCTTGTAGGCTAGCTCGATCCATGTTCGGCTAGACGCTGTAGAAGGCTATCCTGAGCCATGCTCGACTATTTTGGACCGTCTTTGGGCTGTCTTGAGGCCTCTTGGAGGTCTGTACACTGTCGGAAGCTTTATTGAGTCATGCTCCACCTCCTGGGACCATCTTTGGGGTAGGACAAGGAGGAACATGAGGGGGAGGAGGCGGAGGATGATGACAAGTATAGACGGAGGAGGAGAGGGAAGGAGGAGGAGGAGGAGGAGGAGGAGGACTGCGGCACGAGGAACATGATAATGAAGAGGAGGAAGAGCAGGAGGAGGCAGGAAAGGCGGAGGGAAGGAACGGACGATGACATGGAGGATGATAAGTTGGGCTTTGGAGGTATGTTGTTGTGGGAGATGCTTGATGGACGATGAAGTTTATGTTACGGGGCTCTCTTAGGGCCTCCGTGGGGCCTACTGGGGCATTCCAGGGGCCCTCTTTGGGCTTATGTTGATGGTTTTGGGGGCCTCTTGGGGCTTCCTGAAGGGGTCTGGGAGGCCTCTTCCCCCCCGTGACTCAAAAAGACGGGGGGTAGGAAATACGGGGGGTAGGAAATTCAGTCCGCCCCTAGGCGGCTTAAACATGGCGTCTTGGGGCCCTCTTGGGGCACTCTTGGAGCGCTCTTGGGCGCTCTTGAGGCCCTCTTGGGGTCCTCTTGGGCCCATTTTGGGGTTGCCTGGGGCCGTCTTGGGGCCATCTGGAGGCCTCATGAGCCCGTCGAAAGCGAAACAGCGAGAAGGCCGAAAACAGTCAAGGGGAAGGGGTAGGGGGAGGGGCAAACCCCTCCCCCGAGCAGGGGAAGGAAAGGTTTTGGCAGGTAGGAGACGCAGTTCGTGAAACCACCTGCGCCCAGAGGGCTGGTGGGATTTGTTCCCGGTGAGGCTTCGGGTAGCGCACAGGTAACCCTCCAAGCTTGTCTTAAGTCGGACCTGTCCCTCTACAGGGAGGAAATTCAAAAATAGTAAAACATAGAATGGGGACGATTTGTTTTAATTGTTTTGCGAATGTTGGCATTATGCTTTGAGTATGCTTCATTTGTCGCAGAACATCTTCCTGTCGGGGGACACGCCCGACCTAAAGCTTGTTCCAGCTGGCCTCAAGAGACCCACCCAGCAGTCCCGGCCAGCCCCGACGGGCCCGCCGAGCAGTCTGGGGCGGCTTCAGCACCCCAACGCTTGGGTAAAACAACATGTAAGACAAAAGCAACACCATAACATTGAAGGGGCCCACGAACACACAAATAAATACACACAAATAAAATTATTCCGCATATGTTCCTATATTTTCTGGGTTTTTGTCTTCCCCCCCACTTCCCATATTTTCCCATATTTTCGGGGGAATCGAAGATGAATTGTGTCTGTGTGCTTTTTCCCCTCCCCAAACATATCCAACACCATAAACATCCCAACGCTTGGGCGCGGGGCGTCCCCGGGGGGGCGGCGCGGGAGGCGTCGCCGGGGTGTCGAGAGACCGCCGCGGACTGCTCGGGGGTCCTGCCGAGGCCGGCCGCGGCCACGTACTGTGGGCTGTCCGTGCGCAGCCCACGGCCTCGAGCCGTGGCGCGGCGTCCGGGCTCGCCCGTAGCCCTACCAATCGGGAGCCTCGAGACGGGGGTCAGTGCAGACGGGGGTCAGCCAGAGCGCTGGATCTTGCAGGATCCTGCAGCGCCAGGGTCGCATTGACCCGGGTTTGGGTGCAGGATCCTGCAGGATCCTGCAGGATCCTTCGCACTGACCCGGGTTTGGGTGCAGGATCTTGCAGGATTTTGCAGGCCTGATTGACCCGGGTCTGGATTGACCCGGGTCAGAAGATCCCCGAACCAAGCACTGCTCTAAGAACCTTTTGTGGTTTCCATTCGATGTTATCAGGACATGTTTGACGGAGGCTGTCTTGTTTGAACACCTCGGGCTTCTGTTCTAAGAGCATGGTTTCTGCTCTTAGTCCCCCTTTTGGGTTCTATGATCCTTGCGTGGTAGGACTGTAGGAATGCCGGGACGGTCGGTCCCTGCTCAGCCCACAGTCTCACCATTCATCCCCGTCCGGATGTATCCTCGTCCTGCTCTCGTCTCGGCGTGAGCCGCAGGCGCAGAGGAGGGACGTGCACGAGGAAAGTTCCGGACGCCTCGCTTGGCGCGCAATAGTTGTAGGATCTGGTTGTAGGATCTGGTCCGCACGTCCGCCCGGTAAGATGTGGGACGCTCGCTAAGCGATGCTCCGGCACAAGTCCCACGTCATTCGACGCAATCCGGTGTGAACCCGACGCGAATCCGACGTAAATCCAATCAAGTTGCCGCGCGAGGCCTCCAGGGTTTTCCTCATTCGGCGACGAGCCTGGGGGTCTATTAGAAGGGGCGGGCCTTCTCAGAGAGCTCGAAAGGCCTCTGACTCTTTGAGAAGCTTCCTTTCCCTGGAGACTTCTCCGAAGGCCCAGAGGGGCTCCTGAGAAGCTCCGCCACCGCCTTGAGAAGGCCTGCTCCTTCTCACTTCCCTCCCAGCCGCGCCGCCGACTCATACGAGTAGGGAAGGGGAGGGGGTCAGGGGCGATGCATCGACTCCGAATGGCCCATTGATCGCCGATAAGGGGCCTAATGGCCTCACCCTGCCCAGGAACGTGCGGATTTGCCATCGGGGGCCTGTCGCCGATCTCGCGGCGATGTATCGCCGATTCCATGTCGATGTGCCCCCCCGAGCCCGTCCCCCTTTGCCGTTCCCCCTCGTGTGGTCATCGCCGGTCTATCGGTGATGTATCCCTTCCAGGTCGATGTGTTTCACCCTGATGCCAGTCCTCCCCTCTATTGCTGCCCCTCAGGAAAGCGGGAACTTTTTGTTGACTCAGCCTAGTGTTATATCGATTGTATGCCGTCATGTCGCTAAGGCAACGGGAAGTGAGTGCCGCGAGACAGGTGAGGGAAGAGGTGATAAAGAGGAAGGGGAGAGGGGCCACGGCGATATTCAGACTGTCACCAACAGCCAGAGGCGGCAGCTAACGCTGAAACGTGCGCGCTCCTGCGCTCAGAGGCCACAATGGTGCGATTCTCCCTAACAAGTAGTCGGGCAAAAGGTGTAGTCAAGCGTTGTCCCGTCAAGCAGGTCAGGTGCGTCCAACGGGGCCAGAGCGGCAGCGGAGAAAGTGCCCCGTGGCCGGCAAGAATCGTGGAAGAGGGGAGGATCGTGTACAGTGCCGTTTTAAATACATGTTCCGCGTGCGGATCATGGATTAACAATGCAGGGATCTAGTATTAAAAACAACGATGCGCTCATGCATAATATGTTTCATAACTTAATCATGTATTAAAAATCTTATGTGTTTCAAATCCTATGTATTAAAATTGCCCTGTAGGGAGGATGGGGCAATGCAAGGCGGCTGAGATTTGGCGCGCCCCCGTTGGAGTCATGGCCGGCCTGCCGTCCCAAGCTCCTAGTCGGGCGGGCGGCGGCTTCGTGGAAGAGTTGCTTGGGCCAGGGAGCAAACGACTACATCTTGGCATCGCTCGGACGTGTGCATTTTTCCTTCGGCGAGGACCATCGAGGAGAATCCTTGATCAACTGGCGGAAAAATCACGCACGAAACCGAAAAAAACACAGGGAATGGACGTCCCAGCGATGGCCAGTACAGGGCGCATATGGGGGCCTGGGGAGGCGAGCCCATGCAGAGGTCATGTCAGGGGGAGGCCGCAATCTCCCAGAGACCTCCGATGGGGATGCGCGAGACTGCACAAGCCGGCGTAGGCCGGGCTGGGGAGGGGAGGAGCTGAGGAAGACGAGGTCGTGCAGGGACGGAGGCATCCGGCCGCAGTGCAAGCGGGCGTGCGCCTCGAGCAAGAAGAGTTAGTGCGGAGTCACCGGGCTCTGCGCAACTTTACAACATTCAGGAGGGGAAAAAACACACAGACACAATTAAGCGTCGATTCCTGAGCAAAATATGGGAAAATGTGGGCAGTGGGGGGGAAGACAAAAGCCAAATTAATATGGGAAACTATGAGGGATTTGTTTATTTGTGTGTATTTATTAGTGTGTCCCGGGGCCCCTTTAAAACATAGCCTGCGTGCGAGGCCATCCCCTCGTAAGAAGATCCAGGCCCCCCCCTCTCCAGGCCATGCGCCACGGGGCAGGGGTGTGCGCGGCGATGCAGAAAGGCATGGCGCGCGGGCGGGCGCCTGGAGAGGCGCGACCGCGCAGAGGTCGTGCCTACCCATCGGTCGTTGAAAGTAGGTATTTCCCGAGTCCCATACACCAATCTACTTCGGGAGCCTTGAGACGGGGGTCAATCCCCCTTTGGCTGTCCCGGGTTAGCGAGCCGCTCGTGGCCGCGAGGCGGCCGCGCGTATTGGTTGACCCGGGATTGCGTTTTTTTATTTTTTTTCTTGCATTGCAGTTGTTGGTTTCCTGCTGACCCAGGTCTGGATTGACCCGGGTCAGAATATCCCCGACTACTTAAAGCGCCTTCCTACTTCGATGATCGAGTGGCTTTGCCTTATCCGTCCTCCTGCGGGGGCGGACGGAGCCCCTATCCACCTTCAACGCCTTCCGACCGATGGGTACTTGGATCGCCGCGGTAGTTGCTAAGGGGTTGAGGGGTTTAGAAGAGGATGCTAAAGTGGAGTTTATCTGGCCTAACCCGACTTATAGGTGGGTTAGACGTGCCCCATGTGGTCCAGGATGATGAGGTAACTCCGCCAGGTGGGCTCGGCCCACTCAGCACAGATCTGTGCGTCCTTGAGCCACTTAAGGCGCGAGTAGCCACTTCTAAGCTGGGTCAGGCTGGATAAAGCCAACTTTGGCATCCACTTCTAACCCCCCTATTCCCTTAGCAGCCATCGCGGCGATCCAAGTACAGTCGGGCTGCTGAAAGAAGGAACGCTAGAGGAGACGAAGCCCCTTTAGTGGCCCCAGAAGCGCCTCCGTGCCCGAGGAGGACCGGAGGAACCGCAGTGGGGGAACCTGAGGAACGTCGAGCCGAGGCCCATGACAAGAAACACCCTGTGTCCTGGGTTTCTTGGATTTCGATGGTTTTGCTGTGGAAGGCGTGATGGGGTCTCAGGGTTGGGTTTCTTGTGGAAGATTTGTTGTTGACTGGCCTCCACTGTAGCACCCACTTGAATCCCCCTAACCTCTTAGCAAACCCGGCGGCGATCCAAGTAAGTGGAGGGCTGGGGGGAGATGGAGACGGGCGGGCCGTAGGATATGGGTCGACGTTTGCTCCGTAGGGTTTGGGTCGACGTTCGCGCGGCTATGCTCCTGCGTAAGTCCGGCGTAATTCCGGCGTAAATCCGACGTGATCCGACGTGCACGCGATGTGAATTCGACGTAAATTGGGTCTCAAGTTGCCGCGCGAGGAGGAGGGCCGAGCCCCGAAGAGGCAGCGCGCGACGCGCGTGCGCTCCACGCAGAGCGGCCGGGGGGGAGGAGAAGGAGAAGAGAGGGAGGGACACGAGGGAGGAGAGAAGGGGGAGGGGGAAGGGGAGAGAAGAAGAAGAGGGAAAACGAAAGAAAAAAAGAGGTAACCACCTTCCAGGATCTTTCTCCTAAGGGCGGGGTGGTGGTGATGGAGGCGGGGGCAGTCAGCCGGAGGCGCGGGCTGCCGCCGGCGGGCGCGGAGAGAGCGCTGCCGGCCGCCTCTCCCGCGGAGGCTTCGCGGTGGTGGACGTCAAGGCTCCGCCGCAGCTCGTGCTGCAGTGCCTGGGCGCCTTCGAGGAGCTGCCCTCCTCCTCCTCCTCCTCCTCCTCCTCCTCCTCCTCCTCCCTCCTCCTCCTCCTCCTCCTCCTCCTCCTCCTCCTCCTCCTCCTCCTCCTCCTCCTCCTAGCTCCCGCCACCCTCACCGTCCAGGAGGACCAATAAAACGACGCGAAGATCGGGACAAAATCGGATCGGGATGACTCGAAATCTCTGAGAATCGGCGGTTTGGAGGATGTATTGGGCGCCGCGGCCGCTCCAGAGCGTTCCGGAACGCTCTGAGAGCGCTCCGGAACGCTCTGGAACGATTTATCCCGATCCTAGCCTTGTTTTAACTAAAGAATAGCTCCAGGGCCTCGACATCTGCATTTCTGTCCAGGTCTCAGGCAGTCCAGCTAGGTCTGCACAGTGGAGACCCGTGCCAAGAAACACACTGCTTGCCTCCAGTGTGCCCTGGGTGTCTTGGATTTCGACGGTTTTGATATGGAAAGCGCGACGCTCCCACAAAGTCAATGGACGTCCTGGAGTCTCCGAGTTGGGTTTCTTGTGGAAGGTTTCCTGTGGACTGGCCTCCAGGAAGCCTAGACAATTCGACGAACAACAAACGCCATAAACACAACTTTTTGCGCGCCGTGCGAATTTCTTGGATCCGCGCTGGGCCCTCCCCCCAGCGGTGCCTCCTGCGCCGCCCCTGGCGCGCACCGCGCGCCGGGGAGGGGGTCCAGCGCAGATCCAATATATTCGCGCGGGCCTGCAAAAGTTGATGTTTCTGTTTTTTTTGTGTTTCTAGAAATAGCACCAGGACCTCGACGCCTGCATCCCCGTCGAGGTTTCAGGAGGTTCAGATAGGTCTATACAGGTCTGGAGGGCGATTGTGTAGCATTCTGGAAAGGCAGGCCTCCCAGACTGCCTGGAGTCCTGAGGAGGGAATCTCAACGGGAGGTTCTTCGGTCTTTCGGCCTCTGGTCATAGACGCGGTCATGGCCCAACTCAAACCAGGCAGTATGTTCTGTCGAAGAACCAGGGGGAGAGGGGTCTGGAAGAGCTTGCTGCAGAGTTTGCGTCAAGGGCAAGTCTTCGGGCTATTCCGAAAAGCAGGCCGCGCGAGTCCTGGCGTGTAGACCCGCACCCCGCCGCATGCCCTGAAATGCTCCCCCCCCTTCCTTCGTGTGCCCGCCCCCTCCCTCACTCTCCTTCGGGGGAGGCGGGCACGGAGTGGGGGCGGGGAGGGGAGCAACGGAGAGGAGGAGGAGAGGCAGGACGGGGCAGAGCACAGGGGAGGAGGAGAAGGAGGAGGATGCCAAACGATGTCGAGCAGGAGTGGGAATGAGGGAGTGGACGCAGGGCCAGATGCGGAAGCAGGAACAGGATGAAGTGGATCAGTCTGAGGGAGGAGTGGGGCTATGAGGAGAGCAAGTAGCGTGGAGGAGGAGGAGGAGGAGGAGGAGGAGGAGGAAGAGGAGGAGGAGGAGGAGGGAGGAGGAGGCGGCGGGGGTTTCAGTGCGCATCCTCGGGGGCCATCGGGCCACCTGGGCATGTTAGTCCTGTGGGCACATGTGCTCAGGGACCCTGCTGGCCGCGGGGAACTAGGCGTGCGGGTTCGTTTGCCCGATCGCCATATTTGGGCCCTACCCAGTCTGAGTCAATCTAGCTTAGCCATGCCTACTGGGCACAGCCCGCCAAAGTCCACTTCAATCGAGTCTGGTCCAGTCCAGGCCACTGCTGGCACAGCCTAGACGATGTCATTTTCTCGTGGCACCATGTTCGAAGGCACGCTGTTCCGCCAACGCATATGTGGGGCCGGCGTTGAGGCACATTCGCCGGCGTTTTTCGCCGGCGTTTTTGGAGAGACATTCGGCCGCGTAGTGACCGGTTAGTGTCTGGCCGGTTTATGCTCACAGTCTGCGGCAGGGGATGTTTTTGTGTTCTCCCCCTTTCGGTGGTTTCCGACGCGCCTATGGGCCCGCGCTTGGCGCCGTGCGGCGCCGTGCGAAGCCCCTCACGCAATGTGCGTTTCGCCGCAGGAGCCCCCAGAAGTCGCGGCACGGCGCCGAACGCCGCCCCTCGCTCGCGTGCGCGAGTTCTCGCGCGCCCCCGGGGAGGGTGCCGCGAGGCGTCGGGCGGCGCCCTTGGCGCACGGTGTCGTCCCATGCAGGAGCCCCCCGGGGGGAGAGCCAGAGGGCGCTGCGCGGCGCCCCTGGCGCAGAGGAGGCGTGCTCCCGCGCAGGAGGCCCCCCGACGGCTCCACGCGGCGTCGCGCGGTGCCCCTCGTGCCCGGCGCTGTGCAAGGAGGAGGAGGAGGAGGAGGAGGAGGAGGAGGAGGAGGAGGGACCCTCCGGGGCGCCACGCGGCGCCGCACGGCGCCTTTTTCGCACACTGTTTTTTTTTCATGCGCGAGCCCCTGGAGGGCTCCGCGTGCCGCTTGTTCGCGGTGCCCTTCCGCGTTGCGCGGTTTTGATTCGCGCCGGCTACAAGTCGACGCGCCTAGTAAGGACGGGCGCCTTCATCTAGGGTACCCTCGTGTCCTTGCCTCTGAGGCTCGTCCTTGCCATTCTCACTCGTCGCTTGTTGCCCTAACAACCCGACTTCGGCCTCCAAGGGTCTTGCGTCCTTATCACCCGTCCTTAATCTACGTTTTGACTGTAGCGCGCGCGCGGGCGCGCGCGCGTGCCGCTGGTGGCCCGAGTCGCCCGCCGACCCCGCTTCCCCCCTCTCCCCCACCTTTCCATGCTACATGTGCGGCCCAACATCGATCCTTCACATTCGCTTCGAGTCGTTTGAGGTGTCCGCGCGAGGCCCAGCGGCGTAATTCCCCGACGGGTGGCGGCGCTGTTCGTGCTGACGACACGCAACACTTGGATTCGGTTTGCGCGTCGCGGTGGCATTCGTTTCAGAGTTCACGATGATGCGCGCGCGCGACGGAAGCAGCCCCAGCGCAGCTAATTCGTTCAACTGGCAGGGTGTTACGACACACAAAAATATGTGAAAGCTTTGGCGGACCGATGCCAGATACAGAATCGTTTTTTTGTTCCTTTTTTGGTGGTGCCACTGAGCACGTTTCCGCTGGACCTGCTGCTCGGTCCGTGGTGGCTGGTGTGCGCGTGCTAGATCTGGGGGCCCTTTCCCGGACCCCAGGAATGTAAAAACACGACTGAGGATGAAGGACTGGTCCTGGGGCAGGGGTCCAGAGTTCTGGGGGTCGACTTTATGAACAAATCACAAGAGGAAAGATTTCCCATGCCGCTACCCTGCCCTCGTTTTCCTATTTTCGGCCTCCTGGGAGGCCCTCGTCGCCACTGCTGGATTCGCCTCGGAATCCAGGTCAAAACCCACCGCGGGGGAGGTATGGGGAGTAGCGCTACCGGTACCTCTTGGTGTTCCCAGGTCGTGAACGGAAGGATGCTCTCAGTTTGGCTCAGAGGTTTTTCAGCTTTCTGGCGGGAGGTCTCATGCTCTGAAGGATGTTTTTCTGTCTTTGGCCCGGCCGTACATGGACAATGGGATCGGCGTCTTTGTCCGCATCCTTCCCTGTCCGGCTCAGGGTGTGCGTGGTCTTGTCTGCCGCTGGCCCCGTGGCCTCGCACCGCTCGGACGTGCGCATCTTCTCTCGGCGCGGACCGTCGAGGACCATCCTGGACCATCGAGCAAAAACAACACGCACGAGACCGACAAATGCACGGGGAAAGGGACGTCCGAGCGATGGCAAGTCCCTGCCCGGCTCAGGGTGTGCGCGGCCGAGTGTCATCACCACAGCGAGAGCTAGAATGGGATGCAGACTTGCGTCCGTTCCACATGGCGGCGCGAGTCGGTGGCTGCGCTAGGCAAGCGAGCGTGCAGGAACACGCCCAGCCTGGAGGCGAGCGATGAAGCCAAGGCGAGCAGGCGTGCAGGGTGTGCGCGGTTTTGCCTGCCGCCGGCCCCGCAATTAGCCAGCGCCCTATGGGGCCCCGACCCGCCGCGCGTCCCCGGAGAGAGGACTACGACGAGGTGATCCCCGTGGTCCGGAAGGCCGAGGCGGCGCGCCCCCTTTGGGAGTGCCCCCGCCTCTGGAGGACTGCGGGCGGTGCTGCTCGGCCCTCGGCATCGCTCGGAGGTGTGCATATTTTTCCTTCGGCGAGGACCATCGAGGAGCATCCTTGATCATTCGGCGAAAAACCACGCACGAAGCCGAAAGAAGCACAGGGAATGGACGTCCGAGCGATGGCGAGAGTGTTGCTGGCCGTGCTGTTGCTGAAGCCTCTTGCTCGTTCCTGCACGAGGCTCGTCTTGGCTGAAGGAGGGGGCCGGCTTTAAAACAAGTGATCCTCCTCCTCCTCATCCTCCTCCTCCTCTTGGGTCTGCAGTCGGTTTCGATTACTTCGTGATTTTTGTTGCGAGCGAGGGGGGGTAGTGAGAAGGAGGAGACCGTCTCAGAGGGTGGCGGGGCTTCTCAGAAGCCCGCGCGCCTTATGAGAAGCTGTCCAGGGTTTCGGTTCAGGCTTCGAAATCATTTTAGATGGTCGGGGGACTTCCGAGCCTTCTGAGAAGGCCCGCCCCTTCTCACTTCTCCCCCTCGCTCGCCGCCGAAAGATGAGACTCTGCAGTTCTCACCTCAAGAGAACCGATACGCTTTTGCAACGTTTTGTTATTATTTGGGAGGGCCTGAACCCAAACTACTTTATCCGCCTTCTTATCGAATGGCCCCCTCGGCCAGTCCCGCCATAGTGCCTAGGTTGTGGGTATGAAGCCTATTGGATGTCTGCTGGGATCTCGTGGATAGTCTGGAGGCCTCTCGGGGGCCTGTGGGAGGCAGTCTGGAGGCCTCTTCGGGGCCGTTTTGGGGCCTCTTGGAGCCTCTTCGGGGCTCTTGGGGGGCCTCTTGGGTGCCTCTTGGGGCCTCCTGGGCGTCTCTTGGACTCGGGGGCCTCTTGGGGCGGAACGCTTGGATTTTCGGTTCGTGTTCCCTCTCTTGGGTCAGTTTTGATGCCGTCTTGGGGCCCTCTTGGGCTCTTGGGCTGTTGGGTACCTCCTGGACCGTGTTGGGGCCATCTTGGTTCTCTTGGACTGTCTTTGGGGGCCTCTTGGGCCCTCTTGGCCCGCCTTGAGGCCCTCTTGGGCGCGAAAAGTTCACGCGACACCACTTGGCCAAGTCCAGGGGGGCACACGGGAAGCGCCAGGGGGCACGCGGCAAGCCCTGGGAGATGTGAGGGCGAGGGGTCGGGGTCCCTTCATTTTGCATCGCCCGGACGTGTGCATTTTTTCTCTGCGACGGCCATCGAGGACCATCTTTAAGCATTTGGCGAAAAAAACACGCACGACATCGACAAATACACGAGGAATAGACGCCCGAGCGATGGCGAGCAGGAGTGCGGGTTCAGGCTTGGAGGATCAGGCGAAGGACCTGAGAACACGCCCACTCCGTGCCCAGAGGCGCGGTGGCGGGCTGCATGTTCCCACCGAGCTCTGCTGACCGACGGGCACTTCGTGATCAGGTCGGTCTTTCTCAATTCAAGGCGACTGTGCGTCCTCTGCTTCGCGACCCCCGTCCTCTTCACTCCCTATGGCAGCGTGGCTCTCAGACGAGTCTTGTTTCCTCTCGCGTGTCCTCTCCAACCAGTCTCGACTATGCCGATGCCGCTACTCCGCGCCTCCCAGATGGAGTCCGATCAGACGGGGTCGAAAGTGAAGGATCGCGCCGCGATGCGGCCCGATGCGGAGCCCGAGTGTCTCCACGCCGACGACACCGATGCATCGGCGCTGCATCGGCGATGCATCGGCGATGCATCGGCGATGCGGCGCAGTCCTCCAAACCCATCTACAGCCAGTCCGCATAGCGAGGATGAGCGATTCTCCGAGGTTATCCTTGCATCCTTCCCCTTCGGTCCATCCTTGGCCACTTTCGCCGGCCGCGCACCGCTCGCAGAGTCTCGACATGGCCTTCCAGGGCCCTTTGCATCCGTACCGTGCGTCCCTCTCGTGGGGGTTGACGGCTCGTGGACCCTATCCTAGAGGCCGCCAGTGGCTTTTCGGGGCCGGCGGCCGAGTCTCAGCGGCTCTGGGGCCCGAGCGGATGGCCCGGCTGCTGCAAGGCCGTGTCGACGGGGGCCCCTCCTGACACAACGGAGTGTTGTCGCAGAAGTGAGGTCGCAAACTCGAACATATGCATTACCAGTGGCGGGTTGTTTTTCAATCCCACGACTTTTTGAAGGTCGGGGACGACGTCGGGGTGGTGTGGTGTATACTTTTCCCCCGTTTTCACAGGGAAACAACGAAAAATGTATACACCAGGATCCCGTATACACCAGGATCCTTGTTCCTGTGCGGATTTCAGCGCAGGGTCGGAAAAAGCGTCGGTGTATAGAGCTCGTTCCCCTAAAAGGCAAATAACCAAGAAGGTTCTGTAATGATGGGGCGCCCCTCCCCAGAGCTCTCGGCGGCCTCGCCCTCTTCCTCGCTCTCCCTCCGCGTGCTCCTCTTCTCGCCTCCTCGCTCCGCCCCCCTGGCCTCCCGTTTTCGTCCTTCTCTGTCAAACCCAAATGTGAGATCAAGCACAGCAGGCTAGCCGGCAGATGTCTTGGAAACAAGCAATGACCAGTCGAGAACCCTTGTCTGCTAAATCAGATATGGGGACGGACGAATGATAACCACAGGAACACCAACCATGACATGGTCAGCCGTCACACGTCAATTCCGGCAGAGGTCTCCGATCTATGTAAGAACTTTCCATGCTAAAACATATTAGTGGAAATACCGATACCGCAGTTCGTCCTGGAGAACGCTCGTCGCCGCGCTTGGATTCGCCTCGGCGTTTTGTTCAGAACGCACCCCTGGAGAGATCCCCGGAGTACAGCGGGATCGGTACGTATTGAGGCTGGTGGTGATGGTGCACGTACACCGCCCGGTGTGCATTGACGCCCCAGAGCCCCAGGATGTAGTCGGCGAAGAAGCACCGACATCAACATAGATGTTCAAATGTCCGCGCGGGTTGCTCGGATCGGCGCTGCCCCCCCCCCACTGGCGGCGCCTCTGGCGCCGCTCCTGGCGCGCAACCGGCGCGCCAGGCCGGGGAGAATGCCCAGCGCCGGCCCAAGGAAGCCGCGCGGATCCCCCAACTCGGTGGAGGCGTGTGGGCTCCCGCCTCAGACCTCTCTCTTAGGGCGACGAGATCTATACATATCCACTGCTCCTGGCCAGGCCCATCCTGGGCCCAGGAGCTGTGTATATGCCTCCCTGGCCAGGCCAGGAGGGCGTATACACCGCTCCTGGGCCCAGCATTGGCCTGGCCAGGAGCAGTGGATATGCATAGATCTCGTCGCCCTCTCTCTCCCCCTCGCCCTCCTCCCTTTGGCCCCCTTTGTCCCCCCCCCCCTCCGGGGCTGCTGGGGTCCGAACGAGGGCCCCGTGGCCCCGGGCGGCGCCCCCCTGCTCTCTGCCGCTGCTCGGCCGAGGGCGGCCCGGGCTCGACGCCCAGGGCTGCCCTGTGTTTGAGCTGCCTCGCGCTCGTGGAGCCCTGCTGCGGCAGTGCTGCCCATCCTGCCTCTCCCTCCCCCTCCTCTCTCCCCCTCCTCCCGCCTCTCTCTCCTCCTCCTCCCCCTCCTCCTCCCCCTCCTCCCGCCTCCCTCTCCTCCTCCTCCCCCTCCTGCAGGCACGCCGTCCAGCCGCTTCGGCCCTCGAGGCTCCTCCTCGATTTTCTCCTTCCGAGGCGTCGACCCCGTCCTCCCCCGGAGGGCATCCGTGCACCACCGTGCCCGGCCAGCGCCACCCTGGGCCTGATAGGTTGAGAGATGTGCAGACCATCCTTCAGAGCCCCGAATCATCAGGGGTAACTCGGGTCAGGGATAACTCGGGTTCCTTTTTCGGGAATCCAAGCCCGAGTTACCCCGGACCCGAGTTACCCTGGATAACTCGGGCGTCCAGAGCCCCAGCATCATCAGGGGTAACTCGGGTCAGGGATAACTCGGGTTCCTTTTTCGGGAATCCAAACCCGAGTTACCCCGGACCCGAGTTACCCCGGATAACTCGGGCGCCCAAATCCTGGTCCAGGCCGGGAGGGTCTGGTCATGATGGTGGCGATTGGACCCCCACACCATGATATGCCTAAGGCCGTCGGCCTCACCCTCACGTGCCCAACACCCTCGAGCCTCGGGCATTTTCCCGACGACGACGATGATGACAGCAACATCCTCGAATCACGATAGCGACGACGACGACGACGGCGACGTGCAAAATCGTCGCCCAGGGGCTTTCGCTTACTCGCGAAGGGAAGTTATCTTCCACTTGAGGGCACGACTTTCCGCTTAGAGGCTTCCCTGAGCCCCCACGCATCGGGCACGACTCTACTTTTGAGCGAAGCCCCGATGGCCTTCCTCGTGCTTCTGGGAGAATTGACTTTTCTTAGTCCGTGGTCCCGAGGGGAGCACTCCGTTTCTGGGGGGGGGGGCAGCTTCTCTTCCCGGATGCCTCCCTGCCGCCCCCCTTGGCCTGGCAGGGCCCCCCCCCCTCGCAGCCGAGGTCAGGGAGGAACCCCGGGGGACCGAGCCGCGGACGGCCACGAGGGGGGCGATACGCGTGGGCATTGGTGATGGCCCCGAGGGGGCCCTGAACGGCCCATGCACTGCCACCGCCGGCCCCAAAGGGGAGGGGAGTGTACTCGGCGACGGTTGCAGCCTCGATCACAGGTCTACGGTCTCCGTCGCCAAGTGAGTCGGCACCAGCCGCATGTCTCAGGGGGGAGGTTCCCCGGTCCGTGGACATGGCGCCGACGCGTCACATCCGCGGATCCCCAATCCACGTTAGCGCGTGTCCGAGAGTCCAGGGATCGTCTCTTCGGGGCGGCCCAAAGCGGGGGTGATGACCAGAGGGGGGTGGATCTCGTGGCGGGGCCATGATGTCTCCGACATTTCCATGCCCCCGTCTTCTCGTCGCAGTACGCCCGATGCCCCCCTCCCCCAGGGCCGCGCACTGGCCCCTCGGGCCATGACTCGCAAACCCCCCTCTTGGAGGCCATGTGCAGGAGGGGAAAAAACACACGGACA